CCCCCGTGTTCTCCTAATCTCCCCTTCTCCTCGCCCCCCTCCCTGTGTTCTTCTTACTCTTCCCCCTCCCTATGTTCTTCTTACTACTCTACTCTCACCCCTCCCCCTCCCTATGTTCTTCTTACTCCCCTCCCTGTGTCCTTCTTACTCTCACTTCCTGTCAGTCCAGCCGGGAACAGGAAACTGAATCTCCTGCACCGCACGGTACCCGACCGGACTGACAGGAGGAAGAGAAGCTCAGCCTACAGGGAAGGATAGGTGACGAGAGAGGCAGTGCTGCAACTGCCTGAGGCTCTCTATAGAGTGCTCAGGCGGCTGCAGCCTTATAGGTAGCGCCGGCCCTGCTTGGGGCCCCAGGCCAGCTCGGGGCCCCAAGCAATTGCTTGGTTTGCTTGCCTGGTAGCGACGGGCCTGGTAAGAACAGTAAGGATGTGGAGTTCTCTGTCTGAAGAAGTGGTTTTATCAGTCCATACAGATGTTCAAACAGCAACTAGATGCATACTTGCAAAAACAGATTCAAGGATATAATTTTTTCAATGTAGGGTAATAGCTTCTTGATCCAAGGATTTATCTGACTGCCATTCTGGGGTCAAGAAGGAATTTTTTTTCCTAGTTTGTTACAAAATTGGAAGTGCTTCAAATAGTTTTTTTTTTCTTTTACCTTCTTTTGGCTCAACAGCAAAAAACAAATGTGAGGAAGGCTGAACTTGATGGACGCAAGTCTCTTTTCTTTTTTTTTTTTTTTTTCATTTTTTAATATATATATTTTTTTTTTTATTATTTAGCATCAAAAAGTGTCAACATTTCTCCATAAATTGCAAAGATTACCGCACAATTTTTGTATACATTCGAGGAGTACATGCTGCTGCTAGAACTGAGTATCAGATAACGTATAACATGGCATAAGTTGGTGCCTAAAGTAAAACAGAATTTATGATTACAATAGATGTTCATTTATAATGTCATATTTCCTAACATCCTATTCTTAGTATATGCGCATAGACAACAAGAAATGAATAGTAATAGTTGCTTACAGTTGGTTATATCAAAACTGGTTAAGCGTAAGGTATAGATAGCATTCTACATGGTAATCACATAGGAGATGCATGTATGCGTGTCTAAGGTGGTAATTACAGTAGTAGCACAGGTTGATAAAACTTCATAGTTAGGCATATTAACTTAAATCCTGTGACTGCATAAAAATTATAAAATAAGTAAAATGGAAAGTATAGCAGAGATCGGCCACTGGGAGTGTATACAGGTTGCCAGTGTTAGTTAAACCGTTAGGTGCGACACTACTTGCACACTGGTGTGATATATAGTGGAGCGTATTCGGTTCGCCAGTGATGGCGTAGTGTTGGGCTAAGCGTTTTGTGAGTTACGTCAGGTTATATATATATAAAAAAAAACAAAAAAAAAAACAATAATAATAATAATAAAAAAACAAACAAAAAAAACACCTTTGTTTCAGCCTTCTAGGAAGGAGAAGCATAAGTTAGGAAAAAGGGCCTGCGTGAGGTCCCCTGTTAAGCGCCAGTGGAGTAGTACCCCTGTGCCCCAAGGGGCCTTGTGCCATGCACGCGCAGCCGGGCATATCAGCACACCTGAACTAAAATAATAATGGGTGATAAGAAACAATTTAAATAATATTAAGAAGATCACAAAGGGGATGCAGACAGTACACGGGCTCTTCCTCCTCCCCACTCCATCTCGTTCAGTTATGGCAGTCCATAGTCTGATAAAGGCAGACCCTGGCAGTCATCC